GGCAAAAGAGAGGCTCCTTCTAACCTCTAGGAGAGGGAGACTTGGGGGCTCATGGGGAAGTTAGAGACAAACACAAAGGTAGTGGTGGATGTGCTTGGAAAGATGTTTGAGTAAAACACACGCATCACTCCTCGAATATAGCCCCCCTATCTCAGTACTTAAGCCCAGGGGCATTTCTGCACTTGACTTTGCTGTCAGTTTCCTGGAGCACTCAGAAGGCGCCCTTTCGGGGATAATCCCCTACTTCCTCTTATGTTTCTGTACAATGGAGGCTGTGAGGGGTCTAATCTCCCCCCGTCCCCCTTCTGCCCCAAACCACAGAGTGTAGCCAGGAGGAGGGATGCCCTTCTATACAGCATCTGGACCAGATCGGCTGATCTCCTTGAAACCCCTATAACTTGAAGATGGGATGGGGGAATTTGTACTTCTCATCTTTCCTTTCCCAAACCCTGTCTACCAAACATGGAAATGGAACACAATTAGGCCAGAGCTGTCCTTTCTGTCATCTTCCTTGCAGTCCAACTCAATTCTGTGTTTGAAATACAAAGAAATCACATTGCCCTTAGTAGACTAAATTTTAATAAAACATATTAGGTCCGGTAAAATATGAATGCACTGCTTAATATTTTAATCATAAATTAGGACCCAGATACAGGGAAGGAGATAGTGATTTTTTCCCCCTTAGGACGGCTGCAGGCAGGAGTTGATTTCAGGGTGGGGGGTTGTCTGATGCAGGGACATCAGTGCCTGAGAGCCTCGGTGGAAACTCCAACGGCTCCTCTTCGCTCAGAGGGCAGCTGGCCACATCTGTCTGCATCTGGCAGTGGGTGGGAAGGAAGCTATTGTCAAACAAAGAGGCCTGGTGAGAAGAAAAGCACTCCGCCTGTAGTCGGAGAGTTGATTCGATTTCATTTATTTGCTTTTAAAACACCCACTTCTGTTTTCGGTTTACCAGGTAGGTCTGTAGGTGTGCAGAGACACCAGTGCACATTGGTGCTTGGGCATCAAAATTTATATTGAGGTCATGTGAAGTAGGTTTTGGGTACTGGGCCATTCTCTTCCACCCCTTGGGTTTATTCCCAGCTATCCAGTTGTTTAGATGGCCCCTTCCCTGGGGAGCAGACATCTTCCTTCTTCTACGAGCGGTTTCCACACTCGCTGGAGCACTTTGCAGCAACGCCTGTGGGCAAACCGAAATGGCTTTTATTGATATCACCTTAAAGACGTTGGTATTCTGGACACCCTGGAAGGAGACATTGCAAAATTGCAGGTCGTGGTGATGAAGGAAGAATTGCATTTTCCCTCTAATGCAATGCAGGCCCTGCTCTTCATTTTTCACTTTGAGTGGGAAAAGGAGAAATTTAAATCTGTGACTTGATTTTTAAAAACATATGTGTTTTCTAGGGGGAAGGGACCAACAGGAAAATAAACTCTTGGATTGCTCTACAACTGCACATTAATTTATCAACTTGATAATTAGAATACAAGGGCTTCCTTTTTGCCTGTCTGGAACCAGGGCTATTACTGAGAAATAGATGAGAGATTTAAAAAAAAAAAAAAAAGTTACATTCGAATTAATTTAATGATCTCTGAATTTTAGTCATCAGGAAAACATTCTTCCGGGAGGTCTCTTGTTTGAAATAGTTTTAGCCAATAGATTCAATATCAAACAAAGTGTGCCCAGTTATTTTAACAGTGCCCTCTTTATTTTATGAATTTATTATACTACCTTTTTTACCGTATGAAGCGGTGGCAAGTATTTAGCATTTTGGAGATCAGTTGTCAGTTGCTATTAAAGTCAAGATTAATTCATATTAACAATATGCATTTCTCAACACTCCCAGGTGACAACATACATTGAAACAACCATTGCAAGTAATTAAGCTCAATGAAGGGGGAGGGGAAAGGGAGAGGTTCAAAACACCCCAAATATTTGATTTTGTAATCCAAGTTTAGCAGACTGTTGCCACAATAATGCTTGGAAGACTCCTCGGGGTTGCTTTTCACTTTACATCTAATTAGGCACCTAATGAAAGGGAAGAATTTTTTTCCCCATGTGGTTTGTCTCCTTGATATTCTCAGGCCTTTATTTAGACACATAAACACACTATTTAGGATGTGCAATACCCAAAAGTTTTTCTTGTGATTCACTTGGTATTATAATCTGGAGGAACGAGGCAGATGAGGACATTTGTCTTCCAGTTATTTCCCTCCTCCACTCTCCCTTCGGGCCTCTGGCTCTTACACAATACTGACAGAAAACATACCCAAAATATTTTTATGGTTTTTTTTATGAGGCTTTAGAGATGCTCAACAGTTTATACTAATCAGACCATCCAAAACCTTTTGAAGATTAAGCAAATTGGACAACCCTTGTTAATTAGAACATAATTTGAAGTTGGAAATTATATCACTGATGAAGTAGTCTAATTAGTATGACGATACGTTAATGGACCAGTGAGACAAAGCTGCAGCGGAGTATGGTGTGAACATCTCCAAAGCTTGCAAGAAAATCCTCCCTCCTATACCGACATTAATAAAAGATTTCTATAGACTTCATCCTTTCCACGATGGCATACAATTTATAGTACACACAATGCATTAGCCCATAGTGCTGCTCAATTTTTTCACTATTATGAAAACTAATAAATTCGTCAAGCTGAATTAAGCATACAAATCTGATGAGGCATAGCAGATTACACAGTGAAGCACGGTGTCTCCCGAGCCTAAATGAAATTTCAATCTAATAATTCCTTCCCGGCCCAGTCATAATTTGTTTAGAGATGTTGTTCTACTTCTTTCAAAGCGCTATTCGCACTATAATTAAATGATACTCAAGCTTTTAACTTTGATTTATTTCATTTCTTGAAGCTTGAGACAGTGAGAGCTGTACGGTGTCATTTTTTTAATTTCCTTGAAAATTACCCTGGCTGTTGTTGAGGTAGAAATTAAACACCTAAGCACTTACTTGAAGCGTCCAGCGCAAGCCATACTCATTCATGTCAACACCCCCCTTTTCCAACCCCGTGTCCAGACTTCTTCGGGCTCACTCTCCTCCAGGATACTGCTCGTAGGAATCCCCTTCAGCTATTATTATTATTTTCCTCCACACAGGGGAAGAGAAAGGCAAGCCCGGGAGCAGCTCAGGAAAGCCCAATGGAGTTAAGGACCATGGACAGAGCCCGCCGAGCGCGGTCGGCTGCCGCCCTTCCAGTACATACTCAGGCTGCTTCCTAGGACAGCGCTTCTAACTTGAACTCGCCATCCTCGAGGTCAGGGACCAACAGCACAACCCTCCACTCGCGGCCGCCGCCGCAGGGCTGCCGGGCGCTGGCCACTTGAAGGTTCCCCTTCGCCACGCTCCTTGCCATTCTGTTTTTGTCCCAGCGCGCACCAGCGCCTCTCAGGCCTGCCGCCTGCTCCTGCACCTGCTCGCCTTCCCCAGGCGCTGTGCCTGCACCTGCTCCCGGCCACCCCCGTCCCGGTCGGGCCACCCACGGACTGCTGCGTCCGGGTCGCAGGGCCTTCTCACACTCGCCTTCGCCCCATTCCTTCAGTACTTTGGGGAGGTGACTGAGCAGCCCCCAACACTGCGGGAAGTAGCGAGCAGACAGGAGCGGGGAAGAGAGGGAGGAGGAGGTGTGGTGTGTGTGTGTGTAGAAGAGATTGTCTTTCTTTTGCAACTGGAACTAGGAATGTGTGTCTACTTCTAAGAAAAGTGGCCAGCACTGGGACAAAAGTGCGCGCAAAGTGTCAGCTAAAAATAGGTGCTCTCCGCGCTGAGTCGCTGTGGAAATGAAGATAAGTGAGGCTGTGCCAGCACCCCGAGGGTGTGCGTGTGTGTGTGTGTGTGTGCGTGTGTGTGTGTGTGTTGAGGGGGTGTTCTGCAGCACATGCGCTCTGTGATCTCTGGCCCTCACGCCCCCCCACCTCCGTCAGCTGCCCCTTCCGCCTTTGATTGTGGCTAATGAAGAATAATAAATCCAGCGGCAGGGTTTGCCCTGGGATCCGCCCAAGACCCAGCGTACACCCTGTACTGGATACTGAGAAGAGGGGGAGGAAGAAGAGGAGGAGTTGGAGGAGAGGATCCGGAGGTAGAGAAAACGGGGTGAGAGGAGTCTGTGTATGGGGAGGGGGTTGTTTAGGGGGGAGGAGTCGCATGCGTATAGGCGACCAGGGCGGGCTCCGCGGCCGTCCAATCCGCTGAGAGCTGCGAGAAACCTAGTGAGAGAAAGCCATGTAGCCCCGCTATCCCCACGTCTCTTCGGCACCAGGCACCCGCCGGGCCAAGGGAGGGCGGAACCGAGAGCCAACCGCGGCGCGTACCCGGGTGGGTGCGCAGAGCAGCGCGGAGGACCCGGTCGGCTGCAGCGTCCGTGCTCTTCGCGGTGGCCGGGAGCCTGGGATCCGGGTCACCTGAGCTGCCGGGAGGGGCAAGCCAAGTTGGGGGTTGGGGGCTGGAATTTAGCGGGAAGCAGAAGGCGGGGGAGGAGGCAGCCAGGTAAGAGGCGCTCCTAGTAGTCTAGGGAAAAACCTTTCCCAGGCTGGCTTGGGCCACAACTTTATCTAGGAGTTTCTTTTCTGGGAGAGGCTGGGACAGGGCGGAAGAAGCGGGAGGGGCTGAATGCCGGCCCCTAGGTAGGCACTGTCCGGCTGCTGAAGGGAGGTTCTGGCAAGCTGGGTGGAGTTGAGCAGGGGCGCGAGTGTGAGAGCTGCCAGACGCTAGGGAGGGGCGACACATCAGAGCCTGGGCGGGGGTAGGAAGGGGAGGCAGAGAGCGCGGCGGGGGAGCGGAAGGCGGGGGTCAGGAGAGCTGAAACGACCGAAGCCTGGGGGAATCCAAGAGGGAGAAGGGGAGACGGGAGAAACCCGGCGAGAGCAGGCGCTTCCTGGCTGGAAACGGAGGAGGAGCCCAGGAGGGAGGGAAGGAGGGCGGGGGGCGCGGGGGCAGGCGCGTGGAGAGGGGAGTATAACACTCTGCGGCCGCGAGGCGCTGGGGCAGTTTCGGGCGGCGAGGTCTGCAGGCAGAGTCGAGTAGAGGCCGGCGTCGGGTCAGACTGGCGGCGGAGTAGCACGCAATCAGAGCTAAGTGCGCAGAGCCAGGAGGCAGCGGCGAGCGAGTGCAACTTTGCACACCTCTTCGCCTCTCGGGCTTCAGCTCCGGGCTTCTCGTGAGGGTCCCTGCAGCCGGTGCCAGTGCGCTACGGTCGAGCGCGCGGACGGTCAGGAAGATGATGATGATGTCCCTGAACAGTAAGCAGGCGTTCAGCATGCCGCACGGCGGCAGCCTGCACGTGGAGCCCAAGTACTCGGCACTTCACAGTGCCTCGCCCGGCTCTTCCGCGCCCGCGGCGCCCTCTGCCAGCTCCCCTAGCAGCTCCAACAATGCTGGCGGCGGTGGCGGCGGTGGCGGCGGCGGAGGCGGCCGGAGCAGCAGCGCCAGCAGCAGCGCCAGCAGCGGCGGCGGCGGCGGGGGCTCCGAGGCGATGCGGCGAGCGTGTCTTCCTACCCCACCGGTGCGTATTTCTGCATAATCACCGCTTAAAGGCACATTTTGACAGCCCCCTTTATCTGCTTGATGTTTTTTTCATGTCCGCACAGCAAATCACCCCACACCTCCAACCAATCCCCCCCTCCTTATGTATTCAGCGGGTCTTGCCTTTCATATTAATTTTTATGACCTGGAATGTTGCCTGTACGCGTGTTATGTTGTGTTGTATCTGCGGGCTCACTTTCTTCCCCTTCCTGAAATCTCGGCTTCTCTCGGTGGCTCCCTCCTTTCCTTCTCACCTCCAATTTTCAGGATTATTATTACTATCATTATTATTATTATTTTAACGTTCTGGGAATGCTGTAGGCGCGGCGACGGTGTTGAACGCCTAGCCGGGGCTTCCGGGGAGAGCACGCACAATTCCCTGCTGAGCGTAATGTGTGCCTTCTACTTGCAATTGCAGAGCAATATATTCGGCGGGCTGGATGAGAGTCTACTGGCCCGCGCTGAGGCTCTGGCGGCCGTGGACATCGTCTCTCAGAGCAAGAGCCACCACCACCACCCGCCCCACCACAGCCCCTTCAAACCGGACGCCACCTACCACACGATGAACACCATCCCGTGCACATCGGCCGCTTCCTCTTCGTCGGTGCCCATCTCACACCCGTCTGCACTAGCGGGCACGCACCACCACCACCACCATCACCATCACCACCACCAGCAGCCGCACCAGGCACTTGAGGGCGAGCTGCTGGAGCACCTGAGCCCGGGGCTGGCCCTGGGCGCCATGGCAGGCCCCGATGGCGCAGTGGTGTCCACGCCGGCGCACGCACCGCATATGGCCACGATGAATCCCATGCATCAAGCGGCGCTCAGCATGGCCCACGCGCATGGGCTACCCTCGCACATGGGCTGCATGAGCGACGTTGACGCCGACCCGCGGGACCTGGAGGCGTTCGCCGAGCGCTTCAAGCAGCGACGCATCAAGCTAGGGGTGACCCAGGCCGACGTGGGCTCCGCGCTGGCTAACCTCAAGATCCCTGGCGTGGGCTCGCTTAGTCAGAGCACCATCTGCAGGTTTGAGTCCCTCACGCTGTCGCACAACAACATGATCGCGCTCAAGCCCATCCTGCAGGCTTGGCTCGAGGAGGCCGAGAAGTCTCACCGCGAGAAGCTCACCAAACCCGAGCTCTTCAACGGCGCGGAGAAGAAGCGCAAGCGCACGTCCATCGCGGCGCCTGAAAAGCGTTCGCTTGAAGCCTACTTCGCCATCCAGCCGCGGCCCTCCTCCGAGAAGATCGCCGCCATCGCAGAGAAGCTGGACCTTAAGAAAAACGTGGTGCGCGTCTGGTTCTGCAACCAGAGGCAGAAACAGAAAAGGATGAAATATTCCGCGGGCATTTAGGAGACCCTTGGCTTCTCCAGGGACGGCGCCCTCCGCGTCCTCTCTTTTCCCTCCCTCTCTCTCTTGCCTCTTTCTTTCCACTTTTGGCGACCAGGAAAATTTCTGGTAAATGTGAATTCAGAGAAAGCGAGGACTGGAGAGGGAGCGAACGAGCGAGCAACTGAGCCCGAGCCCAGCAAGAATGTGAAACGGTTTCTGAAAGGCAAGAAAAACAAAAGAAGCGATTGGTCAATTTGTAGCAAAGTTGTCCCTTTTAACCCCACCTGGAAAAGACACCTCGGCTTCATCAGAGAAAGTCTGGAGCTGGCTGTTTGCAGGAAGGCTGAAGATACAGCCTGTTAAAAGGCCCCCGAGAATGATCAAGTAAGATTTGTTTTTATTCTTAAAGACATCACCTTTGTTCAAGTTTAAAAGTACACTTTGCAGCTATTTTTCAGAAATAGAAATTGATTCAGGACTGAAACTTTAAACTAGAGTTGATGCTTAATGTGATAGAGACATCTCTAAAGTATTTTGAATTTTAAAAAAGATGGCAGATTTTCTGCATTTACACTGTATATGATATATATATATATATTTTTATTGTGGTTCTTATCCCCTTCTTCCTTCTCTGAAGTGTTGATGCTTAAGAAAGGAATTGCGCCTGCTGGCCTGCTGTCTTCACTGATCTTGAAAGCTATTACGTATTAAATTATTCCCTAACAACCTCTGTAAATTATTAATTTATCTCTCTAGCAACTTAATTTTGTGCACATTCTAATTAATTAAACTTCTTTAATCTTAAAAAAAAAGCGGGGAAACATATGGCTACTGAACTTCAAAAAATTTTATGTTTGACAAGTTTACTGAATTTTTACAGCTTTCCTCTTATACTGGGTTCCTTTTGGCCCATTTGTATATTCTCACTTTGAATGAAGATTGTTTTTTCTTTGTTTTTACTGGTAGTGTTCTGATTTGTGAGTTAACACTCAGTAATGGACGTCTTAATCGTGCAGACCTGATTCACTGTCTGAAGTATTGTTTATTTCGTTACATATTTAATGGGGATTCCTACATCGTCCACAATACACACGAACTCTCTCACTCATCTTTACACACACACACACACACACACACACACACACACACTGCTATTGAGAGAGAAGAAGCCGTTGGAAAAATGACTGTAATAGTATCATGCATCATATTCCAGCTTTAGGTGCATTTGCATTTGGTGTTTGCCCTTCCAGATGCTAAGATTTTACCAAGGTATTTCAATCTTCCAGTTTTCAGTTGCTTTGTTTGCTACATTTTAACATTCACAATAATCTTTTGGTTTTTCCTTTTGGCGGTTTTGTTTGTAGAAAAACTAATCTGAATGATAAGAAAGACAGTGCACTGCTTGTAAATTCACATTGTTTGGTAGCATTCTTTTGGAACAAAAATATTAGGTACACAATGATTTGTACCTTGTCTATTGTAAATATTTCATTCAAAATGATGCTCATATAGATATATTCTTACAAACTTTGCTGTATGGCTATTCTGTTTGAGGCTCTCTGAAGTCAAGAGTTCTGTGTATGACCTGGTTTCTTGTTTTTGTTAATAGATGGTTTATTTACGATGGTAATGTATTATGTTATTTTCAGTGTTGTTTGATTGTCTTTCATTGAAGAAATGATTTTAATGTTTTATTGGCAAAGTATGCTGCTTTTTTTCATTAAAATGTGCTATTACAATTAAATGGCTTTAAAAATGTAATGTTGTTTAATCATTTATATGAGACTTATTTTGGTGGAAAAATTTTAAGGTGGAAGTACATTTTGATGGTTTATTAGGAAGTGGTTATTATCAAAGTCTAGTTTGGACTTACTAAGAGGTGTTTCTTTGCAAAAGTATAAGTGAACAGGGTTTATAACAAACTTAAAAGCTGGAGCTCATCTCCCAGGGTACTTTGCTTTTTTTTTTTAATCAGATAAGATCTTGATATTTGGCTCCAGTTACCTCCCTTGGAGTGTATTCTCCAAACCTGCAATCATTCTGCAAAGAGAATCTGTGAGCAGAGGTGTTGGATGTAAACAATTTCACCCATTCTCTGCTATCTCCTATGGGTAAAAGGAAGAAAAGTGTTCATCTAACTTTTCAGCAGCTCTGGGACACTGAGTGTGGCAAGACCTAAAGCCTGGGTTGTGGGAGTAGGGTATCCTGGTTGGGGGTCTAGGGGCTAGCCCATCATGGTTCTCAGTTCAGTCACCACTCCTGGAGAACGGTGTCCCAAGCCAGAACAAGAAACACTTGGGTTAGGAAGAACCTCTCTTTTCTCTCCCCCCATCCCCACACACTTCTCATAACCTTTAGGAAATCCCCCATGCCCACACACTTCTCATAACCTTTAGGGAAACTCAATTCCTGCATGAGGCATAATGTGGCTGAGAAGGAAATTCTGAGTGGTTAGAAGGAACAAATTTTTGTCCACTTCTGTGAGTTGCCCAGACACCAGAGTTGGTGGAGGTCTGTCTAATGGGTGGTTTGGGACAAAGAAGTTTTGCTCATTTCATGAACAGACTTTCTTTTGTCTGACTCTAGTCTAAAGAGACTTCCTCACCCATTTAAATAATTTTTAGATTCCCCACAACAGTTGAACAGCATATTGGGGCTTCAAAGTTTCTTAAGAAAAACTCTGGTTTAGGTGTTTACATTATTAATGATGAGAACATCATACTAATCCATGGATCAAATAAGAGGAAAGACCCAGGTAATAAATACTCCAGGAGTAATTTTGTTAAACTGAGATGTGACCTCTGTGAAATGGAACTGTCTTGGGATGTCTTATTTCTGTGGGATGAGGTTAGTTTAGAACTATTCCATGAGTCGAAGAAAATTATATAGTCGTTCAAGTTGGGATTAAGTGTTGCTGAAAACCGATGATGATTTTCAGATATAACAAGAAGAGTTGTGAAAGATGGGTGGAGGAAGGGCGGAGTTATCTCTGTTTTTCTACAACCGAAGTAAGGAAAATACCTAAAGAAACAAAATCCGTGTGTCTGCTTAGATAATAATGACAAACATTGTGTAAGTGCCTAAGGAAATACTGAAAACTGTAGAGATTTTAAAGAAAAGAGTTGTGAATTCAGGTATAGTGATATTGATAGTTTAGTTTTGTTTTTACATCCCAGGGGCTGAAAGTCCCTTCTTCCACTTTTCCTTCCTCAAGTCTTTTCAGTCAGCCTGCAATCTCACTATGCTGGGTACTGATTTCAGGACCACGGATAGCAACCACGGAACTCAGCGTTACTCTAACATACCTTTGTCTAAGCAGTTTCAGCCAGCTGGAGAACTTTCTGCTTGCTTAGCCCAGAGTGGAGAAAATGAATGAACTGAATTGAATGCGTAACAGATCAGATTTGATGATCTAGAATGAAAATTATCTTCAATGAATAATACCTTTCTCTTCACATACGTGTTATTGAAGGAGCTGAGGTATGTAAAGAGAAAGGGGAGTTAGTTGGGGGGAGGGGGAGGAGAAAGACAAGTTTATTAGTGTCTCCTTTCTACAAATATGAGATCTTTAACTGAAGAGAGAAATCCTGCAAAAGTAGTAGAAATTTAGAATTATACTGAATAAAATTAAAATGCCTTTGTTCTTTTTGGTAGATTTTGAGATGCTTGACAGCTTGCATGCATGTCCAAAATTGTTGTGAGCAAAGTGACAGACCAGCAACTAACTGTCTGTTTACTTGGACAGTTGAGAGTGAAGGCCTATATTTACCCCAATTCACCGATAATTATTTGTATCCTGTGTTCCCCAGGCTTTTAATACTATCATATTTTAAGCTCATCTTCTCTGGGTTATTACAAGGACAAAGCAAACTTTGTTGCCTACAAGATGGGATTTTTCCCATTCTTAGAGCCTGCTAAAGTGTGTTGATTTTGTGACAAAAGCAAAATCTTAAAAAGAAACATATTTTGTAAGTATTTATTGATGAGAGATGAGAGACATACCAAAGAAATTTGGAGAGAAGAGGTTGGTCTTGGAGAAGAAATTAAAGGTAAGAATAGAATGAACCATGTTTAAATTGTTGAGAAATATCAATTTGGTGTTGACTGTCAAAATATTACAGAGGATAAATAGCAAAATGTGGCTGAAAATCTCTGTCATATTAATCAAATCCATTGGCATTCATGACTCATTTCTTCATTTTTTTCTTGAAGTCCACCTTCAACCTATTAATTGACTTAGCAGCGTACCTAGGCATCCTAAATTTTGATGTTTCAGAATAATGTAGTTTATTTAAAAAAAAAAACACAACAACTTCTCTACAAGCAAGACGATCAAATCTTTCTATTCAATGTGATCATCTGAATCTAAACTGGGATGGAGCAAGGGACTAACAGAAAGGATTATTTAAGCCCTGGTTTTCTGGTTGATATGTAAGTACTCTCTATCTCAAAACATTATAACATTATCCAGAAAGAATGAAATTTCTTATGGATATTTGACATTAAATCAGTTTGTCAATTATTTATCAGATTTTCATTGACACATAATTTAGGGAAATATAATGGAAATATGAAAAAGCAAATGAAATAATTAGTTACATGCAATATAATACTCTCCTTTTTCTAGAAAATGTATCTTAAAAATGAATAACACCATGTAACTAAGTCTTTTTTGCTATCAAGGACAGATCCTAGGACCTTTCTTTGCCAAGAGAACTGGAATTTTGCCAAAAAAACAGAGTTTGAAGGTAAAATGCTTTATTTCAAATTTTAAATAAATCAATTCATTTTGATCTTTTGGAGAAGCTCTTGATGAGATGGTGGAAAAGGCACTGAAAATTTCACTTGATTTTTTAAAAGCATATTATTCAGAGGATGAAGCTCAAAATGTTCTAGGCAAGCCATGATAGTAAGTTTAGAAATTCATCTTTGCAATTTTTTGGTGTAAACAATTTATTTCTCTAGGTAAATGATCCTCATTGGAACTCAAAATTGCACTTTGCTTTCCAGTGGCCTTCGAGGGAGGGGCTGCAACCGAAAGGGGAAAAATAACTTGGATTGGTGTCCTGATAGGACAAAAAAGACAGACAAATGTTCTTGGATAGTTGTGATGATAGAACTGTTCCTGAAGTCCACATTTGTCAGGAGAAAGGTTTATGACAATGGGAAAGAAATCGCTAAATTCCCCCTGCTTTACCCTTTTAAAGAAGCCATTCCCAGTACTGAAAGGCTATTATGAGTGAATTAATAAATTACACAGTGAATTATTAAATCCAGATAATTACAAGGAATAAGTAAGTAATCATTAGTTATCTCAGCTAATTACTGTGGGTCAGAGCCAGCCGGAATGTGAAATCCTCTGCGGGAATTGAAATTAACTTTGCACAGTGAGTCTCTCTGCTTGACATCCCCAGTCTGTAGGCACATGGCAGCTCCCCTGTGAGCCAGTCTTTCTATTTAACTTGGAGAGAATAGAAATAAAATGAAGTGGCGATGTGATAATAGGAAGCTGCTCAGAAAGCAAACTGTGGTTTTTATTCTGTGCTTTCAATGCCTGGAGATGAAAAGCTTTATTTACACCAGTTTCAAAAAAAAAATTAAAGCACCCTTGTTGAGACCAGCTCCCCGAACACACACGCACACACATCTATGATTGTCTGGTGTGACAGTCAGATTAGCAGCACATGAAGAAGGCTTCAAGAAGAACAAACGTTTGTTAGGGGGTTGTGTGTGTGTGTGTGTGTGTGCATGTATGGGCGGAGGGATCAGGCAGCAGTGAGAAAGAAAGAAAGAAAATGAAAATGCTGCTCTTCGCTTTCATCCTGCACAGTAGAAAGGCTGTGGAAAAGTGCAACGTGGTCTAATAATCTGTTTGTTTTGCTTGGGTAACAATATGCTTTCATCTTGCCACGGGAAGAGGCAGCTTAGTGGAAATGTTGTCTGTCGTTGATCTTTCACCAGATGCTTCAAGAGCTGATGTCATTTTTTTTTTCATATAGCGGCACTTTCTGAAGCCAGCCTCCCCTACCTTCTCTCCTTCCACTCCCACTAACCCCCCCCAGGCCTTCTCAAAGGGCAGAGAAGACAGCAAAACCCGGTGCCGGTTGGAAAGAGGAAAATGTATCTGTGTGATAATGTGATTGTGTGTATCACATGGCAAGGGAAAGGCTGGAAGTAAGAAGAAAACTGCTGTTAATATATTAAAATGAGAGGGAAAATCTAAGAGCCCCTTTTTTTATCAATTGCAATTAGATGGACAGTCTTTCCTCTCATTCCCTGCTCTAGTCTGGGATGATAATAAAAATTTAATGAAGCCTGGGACGAGCTGAGAGCTCTGTCTAGGGACCGTGGAATAGAATATTTTAACTGTACATTTATACCAAGCGTCTGGCTTCAAAGACGTGACTGCTTTTAATCTCGAATTAGAAAACCATAGACTTGAAATTAAATATTAGATACCCTCGGATCCCCTTCCTTTCTGAAATATTGTCACGACTTTGTTTTCCTCCATTGCCCCGTAACACACATATCTTAGGTCTCCAATTACATTTCTGTGAATAATAGATGGCTTTGGTAGGGTGCAGTATTCTGGTGCTTTTGTATGTGTGTGTGTGTGTGTTTAAATAGAGTTAATGCAATATTAATTGGCTGTAGCTGTTGTAAGAATGCACAGCCCCCTTTTAAGGAACAAATCAATGAGGTAGGCATGTGGGAGAGAGCGAATGCGAAGGCTTTTCCAGTCTAGATCACTTCTTTGCAGAGGGGACCTGCTCAGAGCTTTGGGTAAGTGAAGAGTATTCTGGAGTTGGCGGCCGGGGCTGCTACA